AAACACCTGGCTGCAGAGCTCCACCATGTCAAGCAAGTTTTGCATGACAACAAGCTTCGAGTCCCGCGCCTACGTCACAGTGAACGAGTGAAGCCGGCCACAGTCGAGCGTGTACCTGCTGTACTGCCATATATTAGAGGAGTCACTGATAAGATTGGCTATATCTTGAAGCGCGCTTCCATCAAAACATACTTCAAGCCACTGAAGAAGATTGGTCAGTTTTTACCATCGGTCAAGTGTAATGTCCCTCTGCAAGATGCAGGAGTGTACAAGCTTGATTGTGAATGTGGTCTCTCCTACATAGGACAAACTAAAAGATCAATAAAAACCCGCGTTAAAGAACATATAGCTGATGTGAAGAATCGACGCTCCGGGAAGTCTGCAGTCTGTGAACACGTACAGGATCGCCCCCGTCACTACATCAGATTTGATAGACCGCAGATCCTCGCTAAAGAACACCGATTCCTTCCAAGGATGATTCGCGAGGCTATTGAAATCAAAAAACATCCTAATTTCAATAGAGAAGATGGCTGGGTGCTACCATCTGCTTGGGATCCTATAATAAATAAAATTAAATCCCAACCCAAGCATACAACTGCAAGACTTCAAGATACCATAAGTTCATACTGCATAGATCGGAACAAAAGTTAAATTTTAATCTATGGTAACCGCGGTTAACTATGACATATGGACGTTGAACATCTCAGTCCTGCCCGTGACCATGAGTGCTGTAAAGCGTTCGAAACGTCGGGTATTAAAAGTTAAATATACGCGATAAATTCCGTAAAAACTAGTATTATTTCAATGTGTAGTGTTCGCGTAAATATAAGAAATCATTATGTACACTTCAGCCCTTCATTCTTGCCATCCAGGAGACATGGCTTAGGCCTGAGTCTCATTTTAGGATTTCAGGCTACGCATGCCTCCGGGATGATAGGAGTGATGGTCGTGCTGGCACCTCTATTTTAATTTCAAGAACAGTTACATTTTCACAAATTCTTCTCTCTTCTCATAGTCCAGCAGTAAATGCTGTTGCTATTAAGGCCCTTGATGTCTCTATTCTCTCTGTTTACATTCCTAATCCTGATGTAAATGTTTTATCAGAACTTGCAACACTTGTTTCTCCTCTGTCACCTCCTATGGTTATTTTGGGAGATTTTAATATGCATCATACTGTTTGGGGCTCCCGTCTGTGTGATTCACTGGCTCCCTTATTTTTAGATCTTATTGATAATTTTAATCTCTGTATTCTAAATGACGGGTCTCCTACCCGTCGAGTATCCCCATTACAAAGTGTTAGAAGTGTTAAGTTGACCTAACTCTCTGCTCCCCAGATATTGCTTCCCTTCTTTTGTGGCAAATATTACCTTCTAGCTATGGCAGTGACCATTTTCCTATATTCATCACTCCTCCTACTTCCCCTAGAATAAATTTTACATTTTGCCCGAGACTAAAGTATAATCTATCCAAAGCTAATTGGCAATTATATTCTAAAGTTTTGGAACGAGAGGTTTCAACTCTTCCCCCAATTAACAATGATAATATTGCTCCTGTATATATAGAGTTCAGAAATGCAATTATTTCTGCTGCTAATAAGTCACTCCCCTTAAAAAAAACATTCAAAAATAATTATTTTTCCCCTCCTTGGTGGGATAAAGATTGTTCAGCAGCTTGTAGGAGGAGAAAAGAGGCTGAATTAATATACTCCCGTTCTATGACTGCATAGAATTATATCTCCTATAAAAAAAATTGCTGCAGAAACCTTAAAATTACTGTCAGACAAAAAGCGAACTGGTTGGTTTAAATTCTGTGAGTCACTGTCACCTAGGACTCCCCCATCTTTGGTCTGGAGAAATGTTAAAAAATATCGCTGTGCAGTTTCTAGTCAAAATATAATTTCTAATGATCCTTCCCCGTGGATAGATGAATTCTCTAATAAACTTGCACCACAAACAGTCCCATCTTATGATGAATGCCTAGTTTTTAATTCTGCTTTTTTAAAAACAAATGATAAATTTGATTCCCCCTTTTCTTCTCAGGAATTGTTTCTTAATTCCTTATTCGTTTATAATTAATAGTAGTGAGAACACTAAAACTGTCTTACTATCCATTTTAAATTTTATTTATATTACTGGTGATCCTCCTGCTGAATGGAAAACCCAAATTATTTTGCCCATACTCAAACCAGGTAAGTCTAGCAATGACCCTTCCGGTTACCGACCTATTGCCCTTTCTTGTACTTTGGCAAAAATCTTGGAACATTTAATAAAAAATCGCTTGGAATGGTTTTTGGAAAGGAATAATCTCTTACCTAAAAGCCAATTCGGTTTCCGAAAAGGTTTAAGTACCATGGATAGCCTTAGTACTTTGGTCACAGATATTCATATTGCTTTTTCAAGACATGAATTTTTCATAGGAGTTTTCTTGGATATTTCTTCTGCATATGATAATTTGCTTCTTCCTGTGCTCAGGCAGAAAATGCTTAATCTGAGTATTCCAGTGAGGATAGTCAATTATGTCTCTAACTTTCTCTCTTCTAGTTCTAGTAATATCTATAAATGTTAAAAATTCCCTGCTTCCCCCAAAAACTATATGGAAAGGACTTTCATAAGGCTCAGTTCTTAGTCCTCTCCTTTATTCTATATATACTCATGATTTAGAACTTTCAGTAAATTCTTTTTGTAATGTTCTTCAATATGCAGACGATTTAGCTTTATACATCTCCTTAAACAACTTCACAGTGGCATGTTCCCGTCTAAACTCCAATCCATCTAATATAAATATCCTAAATCCATGGAATATTTACAAGAATGGTTAACTAATCATGGCTTCTCTTTATCTGTGGCCGAGTAGTGTGGTGATCTTTTCCCGCCCAAGGCGAGTTCCCGATATATCTGTTGTATATGACAAGCAACCTATTCCAGTTAGAGGCAATGTTAAATTTTTGGGAGTTATCCTTGATTCGAAATTGGCCTTCGGTCATTACATTGAATATATAACACAAAAATGTGAAAAAAACATAAATATTCTTCAGTCTTTGTCTGGTGTTTGGTGGGAGTCTCATCCTTTTTCTCAGAAATTACTGTACAATGCTTTAATACGAAGCCACCTTGACTATGGATGTTTTCTCTTGGAGCCTTGCAATAAATTATCCCTGAAAGTAATGGACAAAATTCAATCGAAATGCCTTCGCATTATTACAGAGGCAATGAAATCCTCACCAATAAATGTTCTTCAGGTTGAGAGCGTAGATCCTCCTTTAAGATTAAGAAGGCAATACCTTTCAGACAGATTCTTATTTAAGATCTGCCAGCTTTCAGATCATCCCCTAATTCCTAAATTGCATCTTCTTTCAGAGTATATCTCATCTGACCGATACTGGACCCATAAGGACTCTCACTGCTTGTTTAGAAGTTTTGTAATTTTTCTTCAGCTTCCTTACCCAATCTTTCAATGTAAAATAAATCCACTCTTTGATATCCTTTACGAGGCTATTGTTTACCAATCTGACATTCATCTAGATCTAGGTATAAAAAAGGATTCTCCAATGGCAAATTTGAAATTAAAAGAAATTATAGAAAACACCTTTAAAGATTGGCTTGTCATGTACACAGACGCTTCCAAACAGTCTAATGAAGACTATACTGGAGCTGCTGTTTGGATTCCTAAGTTTAAATCATTCTTAACTTTAAATGCCCCTCATTATCTTCCACTTTTACCGGTGAAGCAACTGCAATCAGTGAAGCTTTGTTATATGTAGAGTCACATAATCTTAATATAACAGTTATTTTCACAGATTCAAAAAGTTGTTTGTTAGCTATTTTGTCCAATCAATTCCATAACAAATATAAATTTCCACTAATTCTTAAAATAAAAAATATCCTATTCAGATGCCATCTTAAAAGAATCCATGTTTCAGTGGCCTGGATCCCAGGCCACAGTGGTATCCATGGTAACGAAACAGCTGATGTACTCGCTAAAAATGCAATTGCTAATGGCATTCTACAAAATTTAATTTACTCACATGACCTAATTTTGCTAGCTAAAAGGAAACTGAATGAAAATTGGAATAAACTATGGGAAGTTTCCAAAAATGTTAAAGGTAAACACTATGCTGCCATCCAAGAGGTTATTGCTCCCAAGCCTTAGATCTTTAAATTTAACAAAGCAAATAAACATGCAACTTCAATCATTTGTAGATTAAGAATTGGACACGCTTGTACACATGCACATCTGGCAAAAATCAGAGTAAGAGATAGCTCATTGTGTGAATGTGGCTTAGATGAAGGTTCCACAAACCATATTTTTTTCAACTGTCCCAAATTATCTTCCTCCCTTTACGATTACCTTCCTCCTTATATTCCTCGAACTATAGATTTTAATTCTCTTTTAACATATACCAGTACTCCTTTTGTGTATATTTTATGTGATTTTATTAATACTAATAATATGAAACTTTAAATCCTTGTCACGTTTAACATACAGGTAAGAGTCTAACACCTGTGTTTGTCATATTTGTTCTAGGTAATTCAACAAATAGATTTGTCAAAATTCTCGGAGGAAAACTGAATCCTTGTATTATCACAGACTCTTATTTTAATTAAACTCATAAGCTTTCATTTTCCACTCAATACGTCATTGGCGAATTTTATCAAACCGCCACAAAACAAAGAAGAAGAAGATTTATTCATTAATAAGTTAATTTTTAAGTGTCATAATGTGTTATAGTATAATATGTTAATAATATTTCTTCTATTTCTAATTGGTAATGTTATTAATGATATCACTAATAGAGTAAGGCTAATTTATATTTAAAAAAAATTGTTGTCATTTTTGATTTTGGCAATAAAAGGCTATTTTATTTAATTTAAGTACTATGCAATAATTTGTATCGAATAAAATCATTCTATTCTATTCTTACACTGTTCTTACTTACACTGGCCCTACGCAGTAAACCTGCTCCTAAATGTCTGACTAATCTAGCAATATCTATTTCATAGATATCAAGCTCAGCGTCAAAACCAACATCGAATATTCCCACAATGAAATCGAACTTATCTTCGTCGACCTCGAAGCTGAGCAGCATTAACAAGGCCAGGGAAGCTGCAGAGGAGAGGCAAAAGAAAGAGAAAGAAGATGCCAGGCGGAAGAAAGAGGCTATGTTAGAGGCAAAGAGGGAATTACAACGAAGGTGAGTATTATTAATTTCCCATAAGTTGTAATGAAACAACAGTGTTTTTACGTAGTAGAGCCATGCTGCAGCTATATTAGTAGTATAGTTGTAGCACGAATGGATGGCCTTAAGATGGGGGGACCACGCTCTCACAGAAAACCAGCGTAAAATAGCAGCTCAATGCTACTATGTTTTGTATGGTGTGACAACTCACGGGTGGCAACGCATCTGCATTTTGAATCGTAATCGAAGATAGATGTAGATGTCTATGGGCCGCAGCAACCACTTACCATCAGGTGGACTCTGTGCTCGTTTGTCATCCTATCCTATAAAAAAAAATTAATAATCACACCTCGGAATAAAGTAATTGCTTCCAAGATGTTTCTTAAATAAATTTTTTAACAATTTGCAAAACCTATCTTATTGCATAATTAACTTTGAAAGAAAAAAAATACGTGTGGCACTCGGTGACTGCCGCGGTAAAGCTATTGCATAGCATTTTTTATCAACTTGTGCAATTATAAATTATTTATTTATTTTATTTATGCAGTTAAGTCTTTGATAATATCAATCTATATAATGTAAATCAAGTTACACTTTTTGAGCGTGGTGACCGATAAGAAAACAATTTTTTTTTCTCTTATTGAATAAATGAGAAGTTAATATTGTTTAAAATATTTTTAATATCTTACAATACATGTAGGTTATTCAGGAATTTTTATCATTGAGTTAGCAGCTAGTGTACACGCATACGTCTAGTCGCACACACACAAATACCGTGCCGAAGTCTGCCGAGTGCCGAAGTCTGCCGAACTGAAAAGACGTTAGACGATGCACGGCTTTCAACGCCACACCTCCGTGCCCGTCGGAGTGGGGAGCGTGAGGTTTTTTTTTCGTTACGGAATTTCTGGATTCGGTCCCCGCGCTCAAGGCCCGCGATAGAAGCTATGCAATAGCTTAAAAGTCCCTCTGGGTTTCTTGCTGATTCTTGCCAGGCCTGAGTTTTAATAACTACATAAATGACCTTCAATAATTATTCTTGTAATCTATATTAAATAAAAATTATTCTATTTTATAAAACATATTTTATCTTTTGTAAGTCTAATTCTGAAGGTACATGAGTTCCGTTAATATTTGTTATGTCAATGGTTTATATAAATGACTCAATAAGTATAGTCTGTTAACGATAGTGTCGGGTAAATCCAGAGGCACACTTATTTTGAATTTTTCATCTCTTCTTTTTTCTTTATTTTTTTTTTACTTTGTTAAATAAATGTTTTTTTTTTTAACAATAAAATAGAATACTATTTATATTCTTATAGTTATTATAATAAAATACGAATATAAATAATATAACATATATTTATAAATACAAGTTTAGAAAGAAGAAGATAGCTTTCACTACGTCGCTTCGTTTTAAAGTGCCAAATTCTCCTGAGGATGTTCCTGTGATGCCACGGCGGTACCTTTGTCAAGATGCGGCACGCTAAGGCGGCGCAACACAAAGGCGACCGTATCTAAGCGAACAGACTTCATATGTAACAATCTATATTGAATAAAAAATATTCTACTCTATTCTATGGTGTCAACTTTTGAATTGCCTTTGTGATGAGAATGAGAAACAACCAGATCATTGGCTTCTCTTATCATCCATCACAGTGTAAATAATTTAAAATTAATATGGTGCTTCTTGTTTCCAGAAAAAGAGAAGAGAAAATGGCAGCGGCTGCAGCAGCGAGGGAAGCAGCGGAGAGAGAAAGACGAGCAGCCATGGAAGCTGCAGCCAAGGAGCGCAAGGAAAAACAAGCACATGCAGATCAGGGCAAGCTGGAACGACTTAAGGAAGCTGAACGGGTAGGAAAATTTACCCACATCACTATTTTTTTATAAATTTTGTATAATAAAAATGTGACAACCGAGCACACAGTCTACCTGATAGTAAGTGGATGCTGTGGCCCATTAGACATCTACATCTATCCTTGATTAAAAATCGAAATGCAGATCAATTGTCATCCCTGAAGATGGGTGGATGCCTCGTTTACAGTATAAAAGGATCTCCAGTTCTCTACGCTCACCATACAAAACAGCTGCATTAAGCTGCTATTATATAACACATTTATATATACAACACTGACCCATTGGTGCTAAAAACATAATGTAGCTGTGTGTAACTGGTGACTCAGGACTCTATTTACGATATTTCTTGGAGGTTCTCAGGAGTGGACTGTAATGATGATAATAAAATTAGTATATATTTTTTACAGAAAAAGTTAGAGCTCGCTCGTAAAGTAGCTGAAACAGAAGAGCGGCGTAAAGCAGAAGAACAAGCCCGCTTGCAACGACTCGCCGAAGAACAGAAGAGAATGGAAGCAACCAGACGTAAGCAGATGGAAGAAGCTGAAGCGTAAGTTTATTGCTTAGTGAAAATGTCGCAAATATCTTTTTATACACACATTTATATATGTGAATTATTAATATTTAATTAAACGAGCAATTCTTCTAAATATATATATACATTCCGTAACTTATTGTACGTCCACTATGGCCAATTTTGCATATAATGTGGCGTCAACCTGCTTACGACGTCCAATATACGGACGTCAAATAGGAGACTTAGCGCAATGTTCGCAAATTGTCATGCTGATCACAGAAATGTCAAAATCTAAAAAAAATTGGCCGTCATTTTTCTTCCAATCTTGCTGTACTGAATATTTACGTAGCTCCGCTAATTTTCGTTGCAAAAATAATAGCGCTGCTGTCGATTTGTGAATACTTTCATTTATGGCCGTATTTGACTTACGCACAAAATTAGGAGACGTGTTACTTGTATTTGGTGATATATGGTTATTACTGCCTCGTTGATCTAGTGGTTGTAGTAGTGCGACTGCTGATCGTGAGGTCCTGGGTTCGAATCCCGGGTCGGGCCAAAATTAATTATTGAGTTTTCTGTCAATAAATTCTCAATAGCTGCCCGGAGTCAGGAAGTTGGCGGTGTCTCACCCGCGTGCCTCGGAAAGCACGTAAAGTCGTTAGTCCTCCGCCTGATCTCTCTCCGGTCGTGTCGGTTTACCGTCCCATCGGATTATGAGAGTGAGAGAATAGAGAGTGCACCTGTGCGCAGGCACAGGCAACACATGGGCACTATAACCCTGTCCTGCGCCGATGGCTTGCCTCCGTTGAGGCGGGCCGCCGTGACCGTAATTCGGTCTGCAGGACATTACTATATGGTTTATACTGCGCTTGGTACTAGTAATTTTACTTTTAAACTTGTTTTCTTCCTAAAACTTTCATACTGTTTCATACTATTTGACACCCGTATTTTTGAATTCAGTTATATTTTTATAAATGTAGATGCGGACGTCGGCTTCTCGGTTTATTTCATGCTGCACTATATTTTAACATTTTACATTTGGTACAAATCTGCCTAAAAGAACTCTTGTTAGGCATTTCGTAAGCAACCCATAATTCTATTTAAGTATAAGTTACCTTCTGATTGAGTACAGGATGATGGACTCAATTGTAGATATTGACAGGTTTCATAGAAGTTTGTTTTGTTATATTGTGACTAATAACCTAATATGGTCTGGCGAAGAAACTAATTTTAATATAAGGTTTTACTGCATTAACTGTCAATAGGTTGTTAATTTCTACAATAGACCGTGGCGTATTGTTGCTGACATAAATAACTCCGAAAATATAATTTATTTACTTGATCGTATTGAGTTTTGGTGCTCTCACTGCGAGTTTACTTTTTATGATCACACTATTCACCTAATCTGTACAAAATTACTCTCTACTTAACTAGATTCATTTTTGTGAAAGGCTATTTTTGTAAAATTATGATATTATGTTTGGTTTTGCAGTTAGTTGAAATACAATTTAATTTTTCACACTTAAGCTTCTAAGCGTTTTATCATTTCTAGAATGAAACATTTTATAAAACACCAAAGTGACTATTTTACACCGCATGCACTAATGCACGCACTAAAATACGAGTAAAACAATAGCGAAAAATGTCATTAAAGCAATGATCATTAATGTGTGTCTTATACACAAGGAATTAAAATATAAATATATTCATGGTATTATGGACGTCAAATATCGTGCGGTATTAAACTTTACCGATAATCTGACGTCCACATATAGAAATATAACAAAATTCAAAAATATGGACGTCAAATATCATTCTGTATGAATGTTTTAGGATATTCGGACGTCCATATTATTATATGTAGTTAAATCTAAGGACACGAAAACAAATTAGAAAGTAAAATTATCTAATAGCACTGAGTACAGTATAAACCGACAAAAAATACCAAAATATGCCTTGAGCACTAAATAAATAACATAAATAAATAGTACAATGAAATAATCAACAACAACTTTGGACGTCGGATATCGAAGAAGTGGACGTCAAATAAAACTTAGTGTGAATATTTTTATCAGAGCACCAATTAGAGCACGATATGCATGTTTTAGTAATATAGCGTCCAATATTTATAACAACAAACACAATAAAACTTAAAAATGTTTCATTCTAGAAATGATAAAACCTAGAGGTGAAATTGTATTTCAACTAACTGCAAAACCAAACATAATATCATAATTTAACAAAAATAGCCTTTCACAAAAATGAATCTAGTTAAGTAGAGAGGAATTTTGTACAGATTAGGTAAATAGTGTGATCATAATAAGTAAACTCGCAGTGAGAGCACCAAAACTCAATACGATCAAGTAAATAAATTATATTTTCGGAGTTATTCATGTCAGCAACAATACTCCACGGTCTATTGTAGAAATTAACAACCCATTGTCAGTTAATGCAGTAAAACCTTATATTAAAGTGGGTTTCTTCCGTAGTTCATATTAGGTTATTAGTCACAATATAAGAAAACGAACTTCTAAACCTGTCAATATCTACAATTAGTACTTATTTACAATAGTCAAATAAATAATAATATAGTCAATCTATAATGTATCACGGCTGGGCAATCCCAGATATTTTTTCGTATTTACTAAACGAATAACTAGTTAGTAAATTGATCATGATATCTATCTGTTTTTTTTTTCGCTGGTGACAAAAATGATATTTCGTATTTTTCGTAACTGCACATTCTGTGGATTTATTTCATTATTTTAACAATATACAAAATTTAAGTAACTAAAATTAAATCTAATCTGAACCAGAATCATAAAAACTGTATTATTCATGCTAAACGAATCTAATAAAGATCTACAGACTATAGGAATCTATCGAATACCTACATAAAAAAATATCACCTTTAAATAAAATATTACAAATCGGAATAACTAATAAGAGTGGCAACGTCGCACCATACAAAGGAATTGCGTTAAGCAGGAAAATAAATTAAAAACTATGTATATTACGGGGATTCTGGATAATTTGTAATATAGAAGAAAGTCCCGATTGGTTTCCCTCCGTCTGGCAATATACGAATATTTGTGTATCGACATATGGTAAATTTTCAAAGAAATGAGTTAAACACTATCTTTGAAATTGTTTAAGAGCGGCCAACCCGTCTTACTTTTCATACAAACGCTCGTACGTGATTATGGCATTGTAATAGATCTTTCTTTGAAATTTTTGAACTAATAGGTATCTTGTGCACTATAGCTAGGTTTCTATCAAAACAAAGAATCAAAACTTGGAGGAACAAATTCAGTATAAACCTCCAAAAATCTGCAATTTTTTCCACAAAATTACCTGAATTTTGGCCGCTCATAATGTACTCATAAATAGTAAAACCAATGAAAATATTTTGATAGAAAGCTCGCAAATGTAATCGAGTTTCTAAATGACAAACATTTATTTCACAAACTTGTAAGGCTTACTAAAAAACACGTATTTCCTGGAACACGTTTTATAAAATTTCCGCACACTATTTTTCTTTCAATGTTATCGCGTTCTCACTTGCTTGTTAGTCAAGTGGCGGTGAGGTATGCGGGGGACGACTCGTGCGGTGTTGGGGCGGGGTGAGACGGGGGAGTTGAATGATGCTCGGCTCTCGGGCCTCTCGGAGAATTGTTAGCAAGTATAGAATTTGATGACTGCGCGTACGCGAATGTGCTGTTGTATTTTAATTTTAGTGAAATCTGTTTTACCTACTACGACGGTCTTGTTTTTTTTTTTGTATCGGACACTGCTTTGGCTTGCGAAAAGTTTAGTGTTATGAACAACACAAATTATTGACTCACGTTTCCCACGCAAACTGCCAATGAGAGATAGACTCGATGATTTACTGTATTAGATGATAATAATTAAATTTTTTCTGAATTTTCAATCACTTCTGACAGTTTAAAAACTGTTTGTGTTCGGAAAACGGAATCTCGACAACTGGGTTGTTTTATGTATTGTTTATAAAATGTGACAAAGTTTTTTAGAATAAAAATTGATATTTACCCAACTGTATTTAGACTCCTTTATTTGATCAAACACACATTTGTAGTCATTTACATACGGTACGTACATGTTAAATAATTAGATACGTTACCTAATTTCCGTATCCTCTAATACAATACTAATACAGACAAACTGGATAGATAAAGAATTTATTCTGCTCCTACTACTAGTCCTAAGCAGAATAAATCATTTACCTTTACTTTTTCGTGCTGTATTTACGTATATGATGGACGAATAAAAAAGTCGAACGGAACTCCCTGCTAAAACAAAACTGAGTCTGGTTTATGTGTGGGTATTGAAGTTTGCGCTTGGGTTTGGGCTTGTACGCACGACGACCATTTTAAAAATCCAGTTTATACGGATCTCTCATTGTACGGGAAATTGATACAAAGCGAGACCATTGTATACTGGAAATTTCTAGCTTTATGTGTTTACGGTTTTTTACTAGCGAAAATCTGTCTGACTTTCTTTGTTATATATCATATCTTTAAAAATAACGCACGCACGGTACATAGATTGGTAAAAATACTACACAAATAAATCTCCGAGGCCAAGCGTTACGTTCGTACTAGACAAAGCATGTAATATAATAAAGTAATACGGTACTAAATGTAAAACTATGGCTATGCGCACGCGAGGACATAGTTGCGAGACGCGCGCGTGCGATTCAATATTATTGTCATGAATGGATCGCTCACTAGCGGATAGCGGTCAACCGCCCGCGAGTGAGCGGCAAAAGTTACCGAATGCTAACCGAGAGCTCAGGCGCTATCTCTCTCTTTTCGCTTTGCCTCTTTTTCAAACATTGCGCTGGATGAAACAACAAGCTTTTCAACTATACTCGCGTTGACGATAGACGGGCCGGGAAGGGCCCTCTTAAGGTTGCCCTAGTCGATGGCACGAACTAAGTGGTGGGCGGGGTAAAAATGCATGCTATCTCAGCCGACATCACGTGCGAAAGGGATAGACGCTGTGATGAGCAG